TACTGGAGGGTAGGACCTGAACTTATGGTTGCAAAAGACAAGAAAAGAGATTCCAACTAAACATTAAGAAGAACTTTCTGATGGTGAGAGCTGTGCAACAGGGGAATGGACTCCCTCAGAAGGTGGCAGACTCTCCTTCCTTGGAGATTTTTAAGCAGAACCTGGTTGGCCACCCGTCAGGGATTTGTTAGCTGTGATTCCTGCCTTGCAGGGGGTTGGACTAGATGACCCTTGGGTTACCCTCCCAACTCTGCAATTCTTTGATTCCATGACAACAGAGAATTAATGAAGCTACATGAAGTTTTGTATCCAGATTAATTGGCAGTATGGATGAGCCCTCTTAAAGTGGGGTTTGCATTTGGCATCAAATATGGGACCAAATGATGCACTACTGGAAACAGCATCACTCAGGAGTTCCCATTAAGGCCTTCCAAGTGGAGCCAAACTTTCCTGCAAGGACTTCTATTCATTGGTAACTTCCATGCCGAATGGAAACTCTGATTGCTGCATGAATCTTCCTTTGCAAACACTGCTCAATTCAAGCTACACCTGTTAATGAATACTTTCCCCCTTGAAATTGAGCATGGGGGGGAATCTCACTTCTGTTATTTTACCCACTTTCTCTGTCAACCCACCCAGTACTGGCATGCAGCCCACAGAAGGTTTCCAATAAGGGGGTGTGACCCCTCAGTGCTGAAAAAGACCCCTCCACCCTAAGCTAAGCCATCATTCATTCACTGTATTGTGCTTTAAAAAAATCTATCATAGAATCATAGAGTTGGAAGAGACCACAAGGGCCATCGAGTCCAACCCCCTGCCAAGCAGGAAACACCATCAGAGCACTCCTGACATATGGTTGTCAAGCCTCTGCTTAAAGACCTCCAAAGAAGGAGACTCCACCACACTCCTTGGCAGCAAATTCCACTGTCGAATAGCTCTTACTGTCAGGAAGTTCTTCCTAATGTTTAGGTGGAATCTTCTTTCTTGTAGTTTGGATCCATTGCTCCGTGTCCGCTTCTCTGGAGCAGCAGAAAACAACCTTTCTCCCTCCTCTATGTGACATCCTTTTATATATTTGAACATGGCTATCATATCACCCCTTAACCTCCTCTTCTCCAGGCTAAACATGCCCAGCTCCCTTAGCCGTTCCTCATAAGGCATCGTTTCCAGATCCTTTTCACATGTACTGCTCTCAAGCCAGGTGTCCCCCATCTTGTATTTGTGCCTCTCACTTTTTTTGCCCAAGTGCAATACTTTACATTTCTCCCTGTTAAAATTCATCTTGTTTGTTTTGGCCCAGTTCTCTAATCTGTCAAGGTCGTTTTGAAGTGTGATCCTGTCCTCTGGGGAGTTAGCCACCCCTCCCAGTTTGGTGTCATCTGCAAATTTGATCAGGATGCCCTTGAGTCCATCATCCAAGTCGTTGATAAAGATGTTGAATAAGACCGGGCCCAAGACAGAACCCTGTGGCACCCCACTAGTCACTCTTCTCCAGGATGAAGAGGAACCATTGATGAGCACCCTTTGGGTTCGGTCAGTCAGCCAGTTACAAATCCACTGAGTGGTAGCATAGTCAAGACCGCATTTTACCAGCTTCTTTACAAGAATATCATGGGGCACCTTGTCAAATGCCTTGCTGAAATCAAGGTAGGCTACATCCACTGCGTTCCCTTCATCTACCAGGCTTGTAATTCTGTCAAAAAACGAGATCAGGTTAGTCTGACATGACTTATATTTCAGAAATAAATGAAGACTATTGTTGATCACAGCATTCCTTACTAGGTGCTCACAGACTGTTTGCTTAATGATCTGCTCCAGAATCTTCCCTGGTATTGATGTCAGACTGATTGGGCGGTAATTATTTGGGTCCTCTCTTTTCCCCTTTTTGAAAATAGGGACATTTGCCCTCCTCCAGTCTTCCGGGACTTCGCCTGTTCTCCAGGAATTCTCAAAGATGACTGCCAGTGGTTCTGAGATCACATCTGCCAGTTCTTTTAATACTCTTAGATGCAGTTCATCTGGCCCTGGAGACTTGAATACATCTAAACTAGCCAAGTATTCTTGTACTATCTCCTTAGTTATTCTGGGCTGTGTTTCCTTTGCTGAATCATTTGCTCCAAATTCTTCAGGTCGGGCATTGTTTTCTTTATCGGAGAAGACTGAGGCAAAGAAGGCATTGAGGAGTTCAGCCCTTTCTGTGTCCCCTGTTTGCATTTCACCATCTTCTCCTCTGAGTGACCCCACTGTTTCTTTGTTCTTCCTTTTGCTACGAACATACCCATAAAAGCCTCTCTAGCAAGCCTGAGTTCATTCTGTGCTTTAGCTTTTCTGACTTTGTGTCTACACGTGCTGGCTATTTGTTTGAATTCCTCTTTGCTGGTTTCCCCCCTTATCCATTTTTTGTACACATCATTTTTTAATCTTAACTCAGTTAAAAGTTCTTTAGATAGCCACCCTGGCTTCTTTAGGCACCTTCCATGTTTCCGTCTCATTGGTATTGCCTGAAGTTGTGCTTTTACTATCTCCCTCTTAACAAACTCCCAGCCATCATGAACTCCCTTTCCTTTTAGTATTACTGTCCATGGGATCTCACCCAGCACTTCCCTAAGCTTTATGAAGTCGGCTTTCTTAAAGTCAAGAAATTGAGTCTTAGTATGCTTGGCTGCTCCTTTCTGCTGTATAGTAAACTTCAGAAGAGCATGATCACTCGCGCCTAATGATCCTTCCACTTCTACCGCACTAACCAGGTCATCAACATTGGTTAGGACCAGATCGAAAATGGCTGTTCCTCTTGTTGCTTCTCCCACTTTCTGGACAATGAAGTTGTCTGCAAGGCCAGTGAGGAATCTGTTTGACCTTATGCTCTTGGCTGAGTTTGACATCCAACAAATATCCGGGTAACTGAAGTCCCCCATTACTACTATCTCCCTTCCTTTTGCATGCTTGGCCATCTGTTCCAGGAAGGCATCATCTATGTCCTCCGTTTGGCTTGGGGATCTATAGTAAACTCCCATAATGAGGTCACTGTTATTCTTCTCTCCCTTATTATTTTATCAACTACTGTAATTTTATTATAATATAGTTGCTGTTGAAACATAAAAATCTATGTCTAGGGAAGAAGAAGATACCTGTGGTGTGTCAAGGGTTTGCAAAGCTTTACACGAAAATTCAATAAATGTTTTAGACTATTCTGTATCTCACCCTACGAGACAAGAATGAACTCTGCGAGAGAAGTAGGGCGCACAATTTTGCAGTGCAAAAAGGAAGAATTCATTTCACAGCAGGAAAGGAAAAGGGGGGATAACTGTGTATTCCAAAAGCCCACATTTCAGCGGTGAGCCTTTGCTCAAAGGGGGCTCCATGCCAACCCCTCAAAACCATCCAAATAATTGCGACCGGAATTGACTCTCTTTCAGCCTCAGTTTGCCAAAGGAAGCTGTCCAGATCTCTTGATTAATTTGTTTTCCTGCATTCTTGTTTTACAAGGCTCCTGTTGAATCCACATGGTGCTAATGGAGCGACAGAGTTGGCAATCTGGGGAGTGGAAGAGGTCACAGGCCAGATCAAGCCATGGGGCAATTTTAACTAGCCAGGCCAAATTTTAATCAAGATATACTAATAAAAGAATGAAAGGGGAAAAATGCCTGCTGCTTCACTCAGAAGCAAAAGAGAAAAACTTCTAAGCAGTAAAAAAAATAAGAGCCCAGACTTCCTCTTGGATTTTGTAGGAGAGTAAGGCAGTCGTTCAGTGGTGCAGCACATGAAGTTGTAACAACAGCAGCAATAATTTTAATGTGTGGCAGAGAGCAGTCCTAATTCAAAGGCTGGAGAGGAGGGGGGCTAGGAGACAAGATGGGGTGGCTTGCTGAAGACTCCAGGGAGTCTCCTCCTCCTGCTGTGACCAGTTCCCCTCCTGCCTGGTCTCCCAGAACACATAAAGAAATGAAAAGAACAGATTGGTTGTGTTCAGACACAGTCTCAGAATGCTTGGGGAAAAGACCCTAGAGAGGAAGAGACTCGGGCAGCTGTGGGAAGACCTACTGGGAAGAGTTGCTGGGATCACTACAGCTGCACTATTTGGGTTTCTTTGAATAAAGAGTTAACTTCACCGACACCAGTGTTTGTTTATTGCTGACCTTCACCTGACTCTAGCTCCTGACAGGCTTAACCATCAGAGGAGGGAGGGAGGAAAGGTGGGATGAAGGCCAGTGCTGCTCACCTCTCCCCACAGCTCCCATTGCACCACCGTGAGAGGTCAGGCTGCCTCTCCCCCTTGCTCACTGCCTTTCCCCACTGGCCAGGGGAATTCAGGACTCTGCTTGACATAGTGAGAAGCCATGATGGTGCAAGGATTTTTGTGACAGTCCCAGCATTTTTAGGGCAGTTGGAGACTATGTTGGCCACTATGAGAACAGGATGAATATTCTACCTCCACTGTTGGAAACATCAAACCTCTGAATACTAGCTGCTGGAAACCACAGGATAGGAGAATTATTGAGAGTTGTTAGGAGATCTTTATTCCCGTTCCTGGAGCTAAAGTTCCCTGAGTTCCCTGAGAAGAGTGATTGGTTGTTCAACTAATGGCTCTCAGTACCCTTATATACTTATAAGCCGTTTAAAATGTGAATAAAACAATGAAATTGGGGGGGGGGGGCTGTTAAAAATATTTATTTAAAACATTCAGAGAATAATTAAAATCAATGATAAATTTAAAAATGCGAGTAAAGCACACAACTCCTAGAGTGATTTGACAGTCAATCTCTCTTCCCAGGGAATTCTGGGAACTGTGAAGGGAATAGAACGAACTCCAGCCTCCGAGAATTCCTTGGAGGAAGCCATGATAGTTTAAAGTGGTATCATAGTTTTGAATGCAGCCACTAGCTCTTCCCTTGTTCATTATAAAGTACAGAGGTGTTTGTGGTGTGTGTTTGTGTGGTGGGTTGAGGACTTGTCTAGGGATGCCTAAATCCAGTGACATGTCTTTCACTCTTTCTCCCCAGATGAAGGCCTCCTGCCTCTTCTCCTGCTTCTCCCTGCTGAGCTTCTGTGTCTGTTTCCCCCTGGATGAGGGGCAGGCATTGGGCCAAAAGGCCAGCCTCTGGGTCCCCGGAGCTACCAAGTGGAAGTGTTCGCCTGGAGACCTCAAGTCCCTCCTCAGCATCGCCAGGGAACTACAGGGGTTTGAGAAGGAGCGAGCTGGCATCCGCCTCCGCTTCGGGAGGGAGAGAGGAGGAGGCCCAGAAGATGTGAATGAAGCCACCAACTACCTGCCAGAGGAGGCAGGTGAGAAGAGGGCTGGCACTTTGGGGAACCTTGCTGAGGAGCTGAATGGCTACAGCCGGAAGAAGGGAGGCTTCAGCTTCCGCTTTGGGCGACGGAGGACAGCAGCTCTCTTCTGAAGTCCATTGTCCACCCACTTCGGCTGTGGAAGTCCTTCCTTATCTGTCCTGTGCTACATCTTCAACACTCTTGGGATGACCAGCAGTGCCCTCACCCCTGATTTCATCCTTCTGTTGCCTCATACAACACAAGCATTTCTCATTTTCCTGTTCCCTATTCTGCAAAATCTTGTTTTTCGGAAAAGGGGGTCAAGAAGGGATTGATTCCACAACAGTCTCCTCCTTTCCACTGACTTCAGCTGTTCTGAATCGGCAGCTCAGTCTCAAGGCCACTTCTGCGTGTTTTGCAGGAAGGGAGAACAGTGCAGAAGAGATTCCCCCCTCCCCAAATGCTACAATTTCCCCCCTGCAATGCCTGACCGTAAAGGAACATTGGGAGCATAGATCACAGTCTTCATTCATGGAGGGCACCTCTGAAACTCAAGAAGACCTGGCTGGTGCTTTTAAGAACTGAGCAGATGCTTGAGAGAAAGAGTGGGGAACGGTTTTCAGCTCAAGGGCCACATTCCCTTCTGGGCGTCATGGGCCAGTGGTGGGTGGGGCCCAAAGCAAATGTGGGTGGAGAAACAAATGAAAATTTCACCTTTGTACCATAGCTTAGTTTACACCCACCCACCCCTACCTTTATACTGCAGTCAGAGCAAGCAAGAGGCACTATTGGAGTTCAAGGATACATATACTAACCATGCAAAATAATGGGGGGGGGAGTTAGGGGTGTGGCCTGGTAAGTGTGGAGTTGGTGTAGCCTTCATAGAGTTCTGAGGGCCAGACAGGGAGCCCTTAAGGGCCATGACCACTCTCTTTTATTTCTGACACAGTATCCTTGTGGAAGAATGAGGTGGAGGGGGTTTGCTTTCTGGGTTTGGGGAGAGAGATCACCCCTTGCTGGAGATGGGTAGAACTGTGAATTGAAGTTTTTCTCCATTTTTAATTTCTCCAACCAGCTCTCCACATTTCCACAGCCTGTGGAAGACCGCTATTCCTTTAAGTTCTCATGAAAAGTCATTAGCATTTTTATGCAGATTCTCCTAATTGATACGTTTGAAATATTTTTCCACTAACAGGCATTGTTTCACAAAACAATTTCCCCTAAAACAACACATATTTGTATGCTGTTTTTGTGGATGTGTGCATCTTTACTCACGTTACTCCAGAAAAGGGCAATGATTGGCAAGAACTGCATCACTAAATTTGGAGAAGGGCTGCAGTGCAGTTTCTGCATTGTTTCTGAAAGTGCATATTATGTAGGTTTGCCTTTAAGTGAGCTGAATTTCTTGCCCATTCCCTAGCTACCAGTTGTGATAGCTATGTTCTCCTTCCACGTCAGAGGCAATATACCTGTGCATGCCAATGGCTGGGAACCACAACTGGGGAGAGTTGCTCTTGTGCTCAAGTTCTGCTTGGGAGATTCCCATAATGAACATCTTGATAGCCACTGAGAGAAGAGAAGGACACACTGGATGGGCCTCATCCAGCCTGATGCAGCAGGGAATGCAGGACAGTTTTAAAAGGGGATCAGACATGTTTATGGAGGGCAAAGCTACTGGCCAAAATGGTAACACTCTGCTGCAACAAAGACAGTAATGTATCTGAATACCAGTTTCTGGAAGCCACAGAGGGAGGAGTGTGCTATTGTGCTTGGGTGCTGCTTGTGGGCTTCCCATATTGGGTATCTGGAAGCCTGTGAGCAAAACCTAACACAATACCACTCTCCTGTGCTTTCCAGCAACTGGTATACAGAAGCACTGCTGCCTCTGCCCCTTTCTCAATCTGGCTCCACCTCCTTCTTGAATCTCAGGAGACTTGAAAATCATAGAACCATAGAGCTGGGTCCCCAAAGGGTCATCTATTCCCACCCCCTGCGATGCAGGAATCACAGCTACTTGGTAATCGAGGCGTGGAAATGGCATAACCAAAATCTGTGTGCCAGTTATCGATTGCAGACTGAAATAAATATTTGCTTGTTCCTCCCTCTGGTTTAAAGGAGGGAACAGAATCCCCACCCCCACCCCACGTTCTGCAGAGCCACAACTGAGCATTGCTTCACCACAGAAGAATAATCAGAAGATGAAATCTAGAGCCCACCGGTTAGCATGACTTTCTCTGAGCCCACTGCAGTTTGGAAACTCTTTCATTGCAGCTGGATGGAAAATTGACAGGCTGGGTATTTATTAAGGATCTGAGTGCTTAAAGAGTGTTGCGGGGTGGGTTATAAAGTAAGAGGGCTGTCTCCATGGCAACATCAATTAAAAGCTCCCAGCAGCTTTGCTGTTCAATCAAGCCATACATTGGGGTTGTTTTCTGAAACAGAGCTCTCCAGTGGGATGAGATTAAAAGCAGGGTTTGTGAGGCATCCCCTGCACCCAGCCTCTGGTCATCTTCCTTTGCAACCTGGCTGAAGAAGCAACAGGTGTCATTCAGCCAACCATTTCCGGAGCAGCAAAAAGACAGGTGCTCTCAGGACTTCAGCCCTCTGTGGGTCTTGAACTTGAGATAGGAGGAATGTCAGGCTGCAACTTGGCCTAGTCCATAACCTCTGTCACTATCCAGATCTGTGCTTGCCTCCATGTCCAGCATCCACAAGTTGGACACAGCTGGCAATTTGCTGATCTCTAGGAGAAAAGCTGGTGCTCAGCTGTGGAGGATCTGCTTTGCACGCAGAAACTCCCAGGTAAGTCCTCGGAATCTCTAGGTAGGGCAGAGAATGGCCTCAAAAAGGATATTGCAGGGTTGGGAAAGCTTCAGAAAAGGGCAAGCAAAATGCTCATGGGGTTAGAGAATCTCCCCTATGAAGAAAGGTTGCAGCGTTTGGGACTTTTTAGTTTAGAGAAAAAGGTGAGTGAGAAGGGACATGATAGAAGTTTATAAACTTGGTGGTATAGCAAAAGTGGGTAGAGACAAGTTTTTCTCCCTCTCTCACAACACTAGAAATCACGGACATCCAATGGAGATGAATGTTGGAGGATTCAGGGCAGATAAAAGAAAGGAGTTTCTTCACGCACCACAGTTAAACTGTGGAACTCGCTCCCATGGGGGGGGCAAACAGCCAGTAGTTTAATTCTTTATTGACAAAGAAATCACCAACCTACAGTAGTTCCAGAGGTGAATTAAACACACACACACACACTCCCCAGGCTAATGCTCTGAGCTGGATGTTGGAGCAACAGGCACAAGTAACCTGTGACTCCTTTGACATGGAAGCTGTTGCTGTGCCTGCTGCTTTCTGTCCCCACTTCAGGCACCTTCTCTGCTTCAGCTCCTGGCGTGTCCTGCCCTTCCTCACCCATCTCTGACTGCTCAGATCTCTTCCCATCCTCCAGCTCTGGCTCCTGCCTTGTAGGAGGCACAAACCCCCATAAATTGCAACCCATTTCCTCTGGATCAGCCTCTGGCCACGCTAACCCTTTCACCATTCCATAGAGCCCCACCATTCCTTAACAGCAGCTCTCCAGGGTTTCAGAGTGTTCTTCCCTAGCCCTACCCAGAGACGAGAAGGATGGAACCTGGTGCCTTTTGCATGCAAAGCAGATGTTCTGCCAACAAGCTACAGTGTTTTAACTATGATGAAGTTAAGGTTCCAGTCCTCAAGGTGTAAGATGCTACATCATACTTTACTGGTTGCTGGAAACCATAGACAAGGAGTGCTATTGTACTCAGGTCCTGCTTGCGGGTTTCGCATTGGGCCACTGTGAGAACTGGATGCTGGACTAGATGAGACATTGATCCAATCCAGCAGGTTCTGCTTGTGTTCGTATATACTGAATCAGAGCATTGGTCAAAGCAGGTGCTCTATTGCAGAGTTATGGTGCTGCTACACTGTTGAAATGGACATGATGATTCAAGAAAATAACCCTTGGGATAATGGGGTTGACTGCAAAGTCTGTGAGACAAACTTAGTGTGCTGCCAATATTTTGGTTTTCTGTAAAACAGATTTAAAAAAGCATGAATCAGAATATCAATATATTTATCTTTGGGGCACAGAAACTGGCAAGAGCATCTACCTTCATAGAATCATAGAATTGTAGAGTTGTAGGGGACCCCCCAAAGTCAGGTAGCCTAACCTCCTGCAATACAGGAATCACTGCTAAAGAATCCTGTTATCCAATAATTCTCAAAGATTATGGACAGTGACTCTGAGCTTGCATTTGCAAGCTCCTTTAGTTTCCTTGGATGCAGCTCATCAGGCCCTGGAGATCTGAATTCATTTAAATTAGCTAAGTGTTCCCTCACCACTTCTTTTCCTATCTTGGGCTGCAGCTCCCTTCTTACATCCTTTAGTCTGTTGTCAGCAGGTTGAGCATTGCTTTCCTTTTGGGTGAAGAGGCAAAATAAGTGTTGAACACTTCCACCTTCTCTCAGTCACAGAGTAGCATTTCTGTCTTCTCCATGCATGAGATCTACTACTTGTTTGTTCTTCCTCTTGGTTTGAGCATAGCTGAAGAAACGTTTTGAAAATTATTTTTAACCTCTCTTGCAAGCCTGACCTCCTTCCTGCAGCTGTTGGCTACTCGTATATACTCTTTGTGGTTTCCCTTTTCTTCCATTTCTTATACATGCCCTCAGATCTCAGCTCATCTGTAAGCTCCTTATGTAGCTACACCACTTTCTTCAGATGTCCAGAACTGGACAGTACACCCAAGAGGGGTCTGTCTAAGGCAGAATACACTCATTTCCCTTGATCTTGATGATATAGTTCTGTTGATGCAGCCTAGACTTTCAGCCAGTGGAAATAGAGGAAAAAAATAGAATGGGAAAAACCAGAGATCTGTTCAAGAAAATTAGAGATATGAAAGGAACATTTCATACAAAGATTACCATAGTAAAGGACAAAAGTGATAAGGACCAAACAGAAGCAGAAGACATCAAGAAGAGGTGGCAAGAATACACAGGGGAATTATACCAGAAATATATGGATGTCTCGTACACCCCAGGTAGTGTGGTTGCTGACCATGAGCCAGACATCCTGGAGAGTGAAGTAAATGGGCCTTAGAAAACACTG